TTCACCAGAGACAGAGCGGGGAGCAGAACAGGCAGACCGACGGAGTACACTGCTGAGGAGAGCAGCAAGCGAGACAGGAGAGGTCTGCTGCACCATCTGGGTCACCTCCCTGGCTGGAAACTGAATTCATGAGGCAGTGGCTGAAGAAAGCTTGATAGTGCTGTGTCTTTAACCCCTGTGCCACCAGGGGGGCCCTATATAATTACTTTTTACCTGCAGATGTACTTTCTCCCTCTCTTTGCTTCATCTTATCACTAATCATTTCCCTCCTAAGGTTACTCTCCATGGTGAACACTGGATACAGAATAAGGAAACACCAATTAACTTACCCCTCAGTCACAGACCTCACTGACCATTGTGAAATAAATTCTTCAATTTTCACCAGGCTACACAAACAATACACTAAATTCTTAGGTGTCAAGAGGGCATGAAATCATTTTGTCATTAGAGTGATTGCTAAGTGCGAGATATTACTCTGCAACAAACGATGCCAATGATGTAAAAGGTGAGCAGATCCTTGCAATTTCTAACTTTCTTCTAATCAAACTCAACTGACTGCAGAAGGCAGGCCTGGGTCTTTTCGATGTCGTTAAAGACTATGTAAGTGAGACAGCTCTTTCTACCTCTGGGGGTAGAAGTTAACAACTTGGCAAAAGTGAGAAGTCATGTGCTGTTTTGAGAATGGAAATGGAAAAAGAACTGCTCACTGCTTACAAATTGTCAAGTTCACAGGTTCTTTGAGGCTGTGAAGGATCTAGTTCAGGGTTCTGGGAGGGCTCCCCAATTCAGGTCAGATTATAATAGTGTCCTAACATGGTACCTATGTAGCAATAGAGGGCATTCAGAGCAAACAGGTAACATAAAAATGAAAGATTTGAAAAACAAGAGTAAAGAATTATAGTAGGCACTGAGGCAGAACTGAAGTTTGTTTTAAAAATCTAGCTTTGGCCCTCCCTGTTGGTGCAACAGGTTAAAATGCAGAACTATGAAGCCAGACCTCTCCTGTCCTGCCTGTTGCTCCCCTCAGCAGTGTATTTCAGTCGATCTGCCTGATCTGCTCCCCACTCTGTCTCTGGTGAGTCCTCTTACCCTCTGCACCTCTGGCATACCCTACCTAGTTTTTGTATGCAGAAATGAATAATTCTTTAAAATAAAAATCTTCTAGCTCATAGGCAGATGGATAATGGACACTGGCCCAATCCATGCATTTGTGGTGAAGGAAGGGTGAGAGGATTCACCAGAGACAGAGTGGGGAGCAGAACAGGCAGATCAAGGAAGTACACTGCTGAGGGGAGCAGCAGGCGGGTCAGGAGAGGTCTGCCTCGCCATGTGGTCACCTCTGGGCAGGCGGGAATCGAACTCATGTGGAAGTGGCTTAAGCTTCTTAGTGCTGTGCTTTAACCCGCTGCGCCACCAGGGAGGGTCCCATTCTTTTTCTTAAGGCAATTTTTTCCCCCCTTTATTGAGGTTAACATTGGCTTAAATGATTTAGGTGAATAGGTTCACACTTCCTCATATGTATGTTACCCCCCCCCCCCCAAGCAGACTTACCTTGCGTTTGTTGTGATAAGCAATATAGAGGGCAGCAACAATAATGGCTGCCGTCACCAGGTATGCAAAGAAGTGGCTGCTCTCTGCACTGGCGCTTCCAAGGTTGTCTTCATAAACATCATCTTTGTCCATACTCATAGAATTCAAAAGTGTCCCTTTACGGTTCTCACTGGAGGCGAGGCCAGGTATTTCCTTCTCTTTTTTGGGCAGCAAACCCTCTTCAGGTTCTGGGTCATAATCTTCAGGCTCTTTGAGTGCCACATCTTCAGTTGGCTTTGAAGATTTACTTTCCCCCGCCGGCTGGAATGAAGTGGAAGAGCCCTCTTTCATGGATTGCTGCTTGATATCCAACTTCTCAGGATCATTTTTTATGGATTGATGCTCCTTAATCGACGAACCAGATTTATCTTCAGTGGTCAGGTGCTGCTCCTTATCTGATTTACTCGACTCCTCATGGTTGTGCTGGGTGGTCTGCTGCAGGTTCTTCGTGGAATTGTCAGGGGTGTGCTGGGAAGTCTGCTGCAGGTTTTTAGTGGAAATGTCAGGGCTGTTCTGGACTGTCTGCTGCTGGTCTATAGTGGAATTGACAGGGTTGTGCTGGGCTGTCTGCTGCTGGTCTTTAGTGGAATTGACAGGGTTGTGCTGGGCTGTCTGCTGCTGGTCTTTAGTG